GTGCCCCACCTCCACCCGCATCTCCAGTGCTTGTCGGAAATGCAGGCTCTCCTCCCACCGAGACCTGCTGAAGGGGTGTGTGCCCCTGAGAGCCCAGCTGCTCTCCTGCACCACAGGTTCATCGACAGACCCTCCTCGGAGACGGCCTCGTCCTGCCAGCGGGGCAGCCATGCGGGCCAGAGAGCCTCTGCTGGTGAAGAGATTCGCCTCAGGTCGCCTGGCTGAGCAAGTGGGCAAGGGTGGACGTGAGCCCAGCTCTCCTGCAGCTCAGGCTGGGGCACAGGAGGCCCAGAGCGGCTTCTGGAGAGAGGGTCGCCCACAGTAGCACGAAGGAAAGACTGAAAACACTGGGTTCCAGACCGCAGCCAGGGCCAGCTGGACTGCTGGGGGAAGAGAATCAGAAAACGCTCCGACCAGGGAAGCTTGGCTGGCTCACGCCAAGCGCACCCTGCTGACCTGCGGAAAATGAACTCAGGCACTTTGCAGCAGAGCGCTGGGCGCCAGTCATCAAGCCCACGGCAGAGAGGACAGATCAGCCAAGACTGCAGGAGAGGGGAGCCAAATGGCCCATTTGCTGCAATGAATTGGGTTGCGCTGGAGGAGTCCAGAATCCCAGCACTTACTACTTGGCCAGGTTTAATAAATCAAAAGCTCTCATGACTGGAGAATAGCTTCAAAGTTCTCGGTCCCATTTCCTCATCAGGCCTCGTGCCCTGAGAGCTCGGGGAGAGGCTACCGGCCTCCGCCGTCATCGGGGGTGGACTCACTGCCTCAGATCTATCTGCAGAAACCTACTCCTTACGTGCAAAACGTCCACTCGCTTTGACCTGGCAACGTGAGTCCTGGGACTCAAGCTGAAGGAAATAAGTCCCAAATACAAAAAATGCCAGAGGCACGAAGATTTTCTTACAGTGGAACGTGTAACAAAGCAACCCTTGACGCTTACTGGGAGACTGCAGCAACAGAGAAATGACTTCCACTCTGACTAAACACCATCCCCTGAGCACACGGTTTCTGCAAAGACACACAGGACCGTGTCAGCCCCGAGGCACCGTGTCAGCCCTGAGGGACCCTGTCAGCCCCGAGGGACCGAGTCAGCCAGACCAGGAGGAGGCCATATGACCAGGAGGGTGGCAGAGGTCAGAAGCAGACCCCTCAAAAGCCAGGGTCAGCCAGAACTGTAAGTACTGCTAGCTTTGCAGGCCACATGGTCCCGCTGTCGTGTGACAGCAGCCAAAGACAACACGTGGATGAATGAGTGTGATTGGGTTCCAATAAACCTTCATTTACAAAAACAAGTGTCGAGCTGGATTTAGCCTCAGGTAGGAGTTTGCTGAGCCTGGTCTCCAGCCCGCACTTCCAATAGAGGGAACTGGTTCAAGAAGTTGAAGCCATCATTCATCTCACTCATTCAGTCTGCACACATTTCCCAGCTCCTGCTTACATCAGGTTCTGTTCTGAGTACCAGGAATGGGCAGGAAGCAAGTCAGGAAGGTAGACCAAGTCAAAGGAATATTACTCAAAACCCTACAACCGGCAGTGGCAATGAAAACCTTTACAGCACCTTGTGAAAAGCAAACTACAAAATCTGTCTTCAAAAATAAAACCAAATTTTTCTGTTTTTTAGATTTTATTTATTTGAGAGGTAGAGTTATAGCAGAGAGAGGGAGAGACAGAGAGAAAGGTCTTCTGTCCACTGGTTCATTCTGCAAATGGCCACAACGGCAGGAGCTGGGCTGATCTGAAACCAGGAGCCAGGACCTTCTTCTAGGTCTCCCGTGCAGGTGCAGGGGCCCAAAAACTTGGGCCATCTTCTGCTTTTCCAGCCAACAGCAGAGAGCTAGATCAGAAAAGGAGCAGCCAGGAATAGAACCAGTGCCCATATGGGATGCTGGCACTGCAGGCAGAGGATTAACCTATTGTGCCACAGTGCCAGCCCCGTTTTTGTTTTTTGTTTTTTGTAAAAAGTGAAAAAGAGGTGCCGGTAAGGGCAGGCAAAGCTGCCGCTTGTGAGACTGGCAATCTCTGTCATAGCATCAGCACAAGCCCAGCTGTCCTGCTTCTAATCCAGCTTCCTGCAAATGTGCTTGGGAAGGCAGCAGACCACGGCTCAAGTACTTGGGTCCCTGCCACCCATGTGGGAGACCTCGACGGAGGTCCTGGCTCCTGTCTTCAGACTAGCCTAGTCCTGTCTGTTGCAGCCATTTGGGGAGTGAACCATAGATAACTCTCTCTCTCTCTCTCTCCCACTTCCCAAGCCCCGCCCCACCAGCACTCTGCCTTTCAAGATAAAGATAAGTATTCTTTAAAAATAAATGGGGCTGGCACTGTGGTGCAGTGGGTTAACACCCTGGCCTGAAGCGCCACCATCCCATATGGGTGCCAGTTCAAGTCCTGGCTGCTCCACTTCCTATCCAGCTCTCTGCTATGGCCTGGGAAAGCAGTAGAAGATGGCCCAAGTCCTTGGGCCCTGCACCCATGTGGGAGACCCAGAAGAAGCTCCTGGCTCCTGGCTTCAGATCGGCACAGCTCTAGCCGTTGTGGCCAATTGGGGAGTGAACCAGCAGATGGAAGACCTCTCTCTCTGCCTCTCCTCTCTCTGTGTAACTCTTTCAAATAAATAAGTAAATCTTTTTTTAAAAAAAGAAAAAGATGTATTTATTAAAAAATAAAAGAACAAAGAGAAAACCTCAGAGGAAAAGAAAAACGAAAGACTCAAAATGTTACTAATGTTTACCTTTGGCCAGCTGCAGCAGGCCTCCTCCTCCTCCCTCTCTCCCTAAACTCCCAGTGTTGGCACGTGTCCACGTGTCACTCTGACAACAAAGCGCTCCCTCCCCAGGACCTACAGAAGGGGAAGCTTGTCTTGATTTTAAGCTGAGACCTGTGTCCCCCCTGCTTCCTCCTGTGGTCCCCACTGCTGTCCTTGAGGCAGCTAGAATCATGCTGCTCACCCTGGCATGGGGGTTCAGCACCTGGGACAGAGCCACATACCAGGGGCTCAGCAGGGAGTGGGCCCACTGTGGGAGCTCCCGCAGGACAGCAGCCTGTGGCCCCCGCCCTTGCTGAGCCATCTGACACCAGGCAGCACGCGTCCCTGAGTCCATGACCCAGCGGGGGAGGACTGTTGTTGAACAGGAAGTAAAAACAAACGCGTACAGATTCCTCTACCACACTGTGGGCCGGGAGCCGCTCACACACATGCCAATACCAGTCACAGCAACATCTGCCTCTAATTGCTCCCCCGGCATTGTCAGAGCCCGTCAGCTGGTGTCTGCCCTGGGAGAAAATCCGATATTTTTAACCAGCTCTTAGATGGCATCCTAGCTGCACAATGTCTTACGAGTTTGGTCTTCGAGTCTAAACACAGTGGGCGCACCTTTCGGGGAGGCTGTCGGAGGGGCTGGGTAACCAGAGGTCCCACTCCTAGCAGCACAGCTCAGCGATTCCGGAGTGCACGCCGCAGTCGAACGTTTTCTTTCATTTACCGCGTATTCATATCCCAGTGCAGAGAGCGCTAGTGCTTTTTTAAAAACTCCACTGTGTCCACTTCTTTGAGGGTGGTTTTCCTTTCTTTTCCAGATATTTTGGTAAAAAAGTTTCTTAGTAAAAGAAAGAGGCGTGACACCTCCCCCCTGCTTTTCGGAAGCGTGCTTCTATCTTTGCCTCCCTCTGTGACGTGCTTCAAGCTAGATTTATCTGTGTGCTCACTTTAAAGGAAAGGGTCTCTGTTTTGAGGCTCTTTTCAAAATAAATCAAAAAGCCTATTGGGCAGGGCCTCCCTGCAGAGGCCGCTCTGAAACATGAAGGGAAACCTGGCATCGAGGCCCCGGAGGCCCCAACTCACTTCTCCCACCCAGGCCACGTGCAAGGACCTCTGCTTGGGACAGAGGGACAGACCTGCTGCTTGGAGGCTGCACCTGTCCGGGGGGTGGGGGGGGGACAGGAGGCACCCCCAGAGCCGTGATGCAGTCTTTGAGTGCTGCAGATACAGACTCCAGCCCCTCGGGGTGGGCCACAGAGCCCCACATCGGGGAAGACACTCTGACACTCTGCACCGTCTTCTTCCACACGCGGGCTCCAGCAGATAGACTCCAGCCCTTCAGGGTGGGCCACGGAGCCCCACGTCGGGGAAGACACTCCGACACTCTGCACCATCTTCTTCCACACGCGGGCTCCAGCAGATAGACTCCAGCCCCTCGGGGTGGGCCACAGAGCCCCACATCGGGGAAGACACTCTGACTCTGCACCGGGGCTCTTCCTCTGGCAAAGCTCACAGCCTCTCCACCCCTCTACCTCCGCCAGGGCCACTGCTTCACCAAGGGCAGGACCCTCCGAATCTCCCAGAGCCTCCCTCAGCCCTGCTCCCGACTGCTGCTCACACACCTCCTGGGGCTCCCCACTGCCAACCAAGGCACTCAGCATCGAAAGCCCCTTGGGGAGCCCAAAGGCCAGCCCAGCACCACTGGTTACTGGGCCCCACACACAACTGGATCCCACCTCCTGCGTCCAAAACTCTGCACACCGCCTTCCTCTTCCACCCATCACTCCGTCAGCCGTGATCTACTAAGCACAGTCCAGAAGCCAGAGCGTCAGCAACGAACAGACAAAATCCCTGCCCTAAAACAGCTCGCTGTAGAGTGAAGAGAGGCAAACAGAGATACACACACACACACACACACACACACACACGGCGCCTGTCCACACCAGTGACCTACGCCCTCCAGGAGCCCAAGGGTGAGACATGTTTTGTCACCTGGGAGACACAGTGTGCACACAGTAGGTGCCCAACAAGTGTTTTTACTAACACGCTACCTACAGTTGCACAGAACTCACAAATGTTCTTTCCAGCCATCTAGGAATGAGGCTTAGCACTGATGAAGCGCTGCGTGTGGTCACTGCGTCACCAAGGCCCCACACGTAGGCGCCGCCCCGCCCCGTGCCTCCTGCTGTCCAGGCGAGCGCCCCGGGACGGGCAGCCTGGGGACGGAGGGCGTTACCTTGCCAGTCCTCACATCCCAGGCTTTGATTTCGGAGCTGAAGCCTCCACATAAAAAAACGCTGGGGTCCTTCGGGTGAAATTTCAAGGTAGTGACTCTAAAGTCACTTCGCCCACTGAACAGCTGGGTTCCTGCAACACAGAAAGAGGGGACAGTGTTAGGAGACACCTAGATCACAAAACAAGTTTCTGACAACCAAAATACTATCTAAGTCCATGGGCAAACAGGACACCGAGGTCCAAGTTTCTGGAAACCCAGCAGCAATGGTGGCAGCATTTGCCTGCACTCCGTGGCCAGCCCCTGCCCCAGGCTAGGCTGAAAGGTGGGTCCATGACCACAGGCAGCACAAGGATAACTCATCGGCAGCCCAGGCCCATTTTACAGGTGGCAGCAGCAAGGCCCGGCAAGGGCGGCACTTCCAAGGCTGTGCAGTCCCTACAGCTGTCTGCTTATCCTGAGGAGGACTGCCCCACGAGGTCCATTCAGGATCAGCCTTCGGCAGGCAGGCACGTCCCTGAGGAGCCGCCGTGGAGCGTGGCCCTCGGGGTGATGACAGTGGCCCAAACCGCACAGGGGACAGGGCAGCGCTCACCCTGCCCCATCAGGCATCACGTGGCTGTCAAGCTCTATCACGCTGTGCAAACACGGTGAGAGAGGCCTTCCCACCACAGTGGCCTTCCCAAGGTCAGCTATGGAGGCTTCAGAACACCAAGCACTCAGGGCAGACAAAAGCTGGTGCTCCTTCTACTACCACGGTGGGCTCATGTCCACTACCACGGTGGGCTCTGTGCCCGCTACCACGGTGGGCTCCGTGTCCGCTACCACGGTGGGCTCATGTCCGCTACCACGGTGGGCTCATGTCCGCTACCACGGTGGGCTCATGTCCGCTACCACGGTGGGCTCATGTCCGCTACCACGGTGGGCTCCGTGTCTACCATGGTGGGCTCCGTGTCCACTACCATGGTGGGCTCATGTCCGCTACCACGGTGGGCTCATGTCCGCTACCACGGTGGGCTCCGTGTCTACCATGGTGGGCTCCGTGTCCACTACCATGGTGGGCTCATGTCCGCTACCACGGTGGGCTCATGTCCGCTACCATGGTGGGCTCCGTGTCCACTACCATGGTGGGCTCATGTCCGCTACCACGGTGGGCTCATGTCCGCTACCACGGTGGGCTCATGTCTACTACCACGGTGGGCTCATGTCCGCTACCACGATGGGCTCCGTGCCCGCTACCACGGTGGGCTCATGTCCGCTACCACGGTGGGCTCCGTGCCTGCTACCACGGTGGGCTCCTGTCTGAAAGGCCGGCTGCTATTCTCACCTGTTCACTTAATCCTCCTGAAACTGCATGGAGAAACTGGCCTGGCCTCAGGAGGCGCCCTTGCCAGGCAGTCTGAGAGCCACGGCTGCACATGTCCCCAGGGGCAGGGCTCACACAGCATGTGTGGCACCTGAGTGACCAGCAAGGGTTCCCCAGCCCAGCAGGGAAAACCTTAGCTGTCCTGCACCCACGGGAAGGCTTCCACGGCACTGAGGACGTCGGCAGCTTGAAGACAGAGGAAGTGCTGGCCAAGTAGGAGACGCCAAGGCCTCAAGCATCCCCTGTGCTCGCAGAAGCCCAGGAAGCAGCATCTGCTCGCTCCACCCAAGGAGCGCTCCCTGAAGGCAGCCCTGTCACACGTGCTGTGGCCCCCACTCAGTGGACAGGTAGGGGGAGGAAAGTCATCCATCACTGCTCACAGAGGTACAGCGGGAGACTCTAAGTCCAGCTTGCCCACAGCCAGTCTCCAAAGCGGTGTGACTGCACGCATCAGCGACTCCTGGGTGTCTGCTGACGAGTCACACAATGTGCTAGAACTACTGATGCACTACCAACATCTAAAGCAGCAGAGACAGAACACTGCGGAGGATGAGACGGCATAAAACCGCCAACACTTTGAAATACACTGTAATACGCCACTGACTAGGACATCGCGGAAGCTCTCTGAAATCATCAAAACTTACAACAGCTTTAGTGAGCAGCAGCACCGGGCGTGCTGCCTCTTCTGGTAACACAGGGAACTTTGGTGACCAGAGAGTCGTCTGGGTGTGGGCTGGGCTCATCCACTGAACACTGGACCTGCTGGCCACACAGCAGACACCGTCCCTTCCGTCTGTTAGTGGTGCAGAGGGGTCTGTGAACATTTGGCCAGTAAAGCTCCACCCCTAATGTCAAATAAAGGTTCCTGCAACCAACCGCAAGGTATCGCTGCATTCTCAGATTTGTAATAATCCAGCTCAAGTCTTCTTTTAAGGAATTCTGGAGCAGATTAGAAAAGAGTGTTCCCAGGCTGACGGTGCAGGAGTCTCGATAGGTGACACACTTGCTTCACTTTTGGCTACAAAAATCACATAATGATGGAAATAAATTTAAACATCTGTTTTCAAAATGTACTCTTCGGAGTGTGAATTTTTTGAAAAGCATTACTCTCTTACTCTTTGTTAAAGTGTCACTTTTACCTTGATGGACAGTTAGCTATGTTTGGTTTTGTTTTTCTCTATTGTTTTCTAGCAGCCTACCACTGCCAGTCACTTGTCATCACAGAAAATTCTGGGGTGCTGGCACTGTGGCGCAGTAGGTTAATCCTCCGCCTGTGGTGCCAGCATCCCATATGGGTGCCAGTTCTAGTCCCGGCTGCTCCTCTTCCAATCCAGCTCTCTGCTATGGCCTGGGAAAGCAGTAGAGGATGGCCCAAGTCCTTGGGCTCCTGCACCCATGTGGGAGACTTGGAGGAAGCTCCTGGATCCTGGCTTCAGATCGGCTCAGCTCCGGCTGTTGCGGCTATTTAGAGAGTGGACCAGCAGATGGGAGAACTTTCCCTCTGTCTCTCCCTCTCACTGTCTATAACTCTGCTTCTCAAAAAATAAGAAAAAAGAAAGAAAATTCTGGAAATACTTTTTATAAATGAAGAATCACTTCCCAGTGAGTTAATGTAACTGGAAATCTGTTATTTGCTGAATTCACTCTTCATCTTCCTTTTCTGAAACTCACCTGGAGCCCACATCCTTTCTTGCCCCTCGCATTAGCACTCGGGATCAGACACCACCCATGCTGTGCGTGGTTAGCAAGTCCTGCAGGTGGACAGGACAGCCGGGGGCGGCCCCCCAGCCTCTGTGCCCGTGCCGGAGACAGGGCCAGCACTGTGGCAGCAGCAAGGCCTCGGGATGCTCACCTCAGCCAGGTGCTGGGGGATGGCCCTCGGGGAGGAGGAGGGGGCGGAGGCCACTGCGGCCCCCAGCACCACCGACAAGGCCCAGGCCAGCCACGGGTCTCTTCTCCCACAGAGGCAACCATGCCGACCACTCAGGGGTCCTGGGTTCAAGCTCACTGGAATTTGCTGCTGATCCTGAGCTCGGAAAGGACTGCACCTGCCCGGAGAGAGGCGGGCCCCTGTCTCAGACACGGCGCATAACCATATGCTGGTTCAGAAACGACAGTGAATTCTCTCTCTCTCTCTCTCTCTCTTTGTCCCAGAAAGTGCAGTGACAGAATCCTGTCAACAACAGGTAAGGCAGATGTAAGGAAATGCTGAGTTGCTGAAAGATGATGACTGACATCTTCCCGCCGGAAAGAAGCACTCTGAGTGCTGTGTTTCTGAATGTTCCTGAGAACCGGTCTTCGAAATACCCACATTCTCCATTTAGAAGATGAGCTGTAGTAGGTATTTCTTTTTCCTGCTTTTACTTGAAAATAACTAGGCTCTCACTATTTTCCTTTGTGAAAAGGGGCCAAAACTGAAAGACCACTGAATTTTTTTAAAAATATTTACTTATTTATTTAAAAGGCAGAGTGACATGGAGGGAAGGAGAGAGAGACAGAGACAGAGACAGAGAGACAGAGAGAGAGAATATCTTCCATCCAAATGGCTGGGGCTGGGCAGGGCTGAAGCCAAGAGCTAGGAACTGTGTCTCCCACATGGGTGCAGGGCCCACGGCACTTCCACTGCCTTCGCAGTAGCCTTAGCAGGAGCGGAAGCAGAGCACCAGGGACAGGCACTGGAGCTCCATTGAGGGACGCCAGCGTCACAGGCTGCGGCTTAACCCACGAGCCACAACGCCGGCCCTTCAAACTGTCTAGTAAGTTTCCAAACACCTAGTGCAGATAAGGTTATCAGTGAGGAGGCCTGGAGCAGGACTTGGCTGCAGACACAAGGACCGTCACCTCCGGGCGCGGTGCGGAGGTGAGGCCAGGGCATAAAGGGCCGCCCAGGCCCGGCACTGTCACTTCCAGCAGGGGGACCTTGGAAAGGGCCGCCCAGGCCCGGCACTGTCACTTCCAGCAGGGGACCTTGGAAAGGGCCGCCCAGGCCCGGCACTGTCACTTCCAGCAGGGGACCTTGGAAAGGGCCGCCCAGGCCCGGCACTGTCACTTCCAGCAGGGGACCTTGGAAAGGGCCGCCCAGGCCCGGCACTGTCACTTCCAGCAGGGGACCTTGGGCCCCACAGAGCTCCCGAGGGGTGAAGTGCTGTACAGAGCAGGGCCAGCAGCAAACAATAAGGAGCTGAGACAGCTGGAAAACACGAAACCTCGAACTGTTGACTTCACCCTCGTCTAGATGAGAAGCGAAAACCAAGGTGCAGGTTTCTAAGAGCAGGAACCTTGAGAGATCAATGATTTTTGAGCTTTTGTCGTGAGGCACTGAGAACACAGGCGCTGGGCTGGCCTCTGCATTTGCTGAGGGGACGGGATAAAGGCTGGGTAAAGTGACCGTGAACATGAGCCGCCCGATGGGCTCGTGCTCCTCCAGGCCTCTCCGAGAGCCGAGCGGGAGCGGTGAGTTTCTCACACCCCTCCCTGCGCTGCTGTGAGCACGGTACTCATCAGGGAACCTTCAGCTTTCAGACCATCTCGCCCGCTCGTTACACCAAATTCTGTTCATTCAGTGCATTCTTAGGATAGGAAGTGCAGTTTTGGGGAACTTAATCCATTGACACTGGATTTATTGATCTGGTTATAATGTACACAAACCGTTTGGATCTTCTCAGAGTTAAGAGAAATCATCTCGGCCGGCGCCGCGGCTCACTAGGCTAATCCTCCACCTTGCGGCGCCGGCACACCGGGTTCTAGTCCCGGTCGGGGCGCCGGATT